GCTCTTCCACTGCTGCTGCAGCTCACCTTGGAGATGAGTTCTCCCTCAATTCCCTCAAAGAGGGTTGAATCCATCAGGAACACCCACCTCTGGATGCGGATGCTCTGACAGGAGAGGCCCTGCGTGTCGATCATGATGTCTGCTTCATCCAGCACGAAGAGGGTGATCTTCTTCACGTCCACGACCTTCCGCTTGAAACACCAATCCAGCATCGTTCCCGGCGTCCCAATGACGATCTGCTCCTTCAGCACAGTGCCCTGTGGGACTGCCAGAGGAGAAATGACTCTCCTTCAGCTATCTCAGGGCTCCAGGAGGGGGTCCCAACGTTCCCCTGGTGCTGGTGGCTCCGGACACGACTCACCTCGGTTCCCCCGGACCGCATACATCACCTTGATGTCGGCACAAAACCGCCCGATGGCCTCGATCACGCACCCGATCTGCAGCGCCAGCTCGTAGGTAGGAGCCAAGCAGAGGCACTTGGGGGGAAATAAAGAGCTCTCAGAGCAGAAAGGCTTTGTTTAAAAGCCAAGGATACTCCCAGGATGGGATACAGCGGGCAGATGCAAGGAATTCTGGAAGGGCAAACAGGAAAAGCCCACACTGCAATGCTTGGAAGCGCAAGGGGATTGGGAGCTGGGCAGACAGCCCAGCTGCAGGGACACAGGTAGAAAGGGGTCACTGTAACTGGTGCTGGGAGGGATACTGGTCCCCTGAAGGGTGGTGCAGCTCATTTCCATGCCCAGCTTTAAAGCAACAGCTTAAATCACCCCACACACTAGAGATGAGTGATCCTAAATGGCAGCAACCTGCTGGCACAGCAGGTCCTACACGCAGGGAGGTGTTTACACCACCAGAAACCCAGAAGCTTCTCCATTTTATTGTCCAACTTTAAATTCCAGGCTCTCTAAAGCCTGGCTTAAGCTAGCAAGAAGTGCCTCCTTTCAGCAGGCACCACACCTTCTGTCCTACCTCCTGCTGCAGTGGTACCTGGGGGTTCATTGTCCCCCTCCAGAGGATAAAAATCACATGGAAGCAGGGACAAATCCCTGGGATCTGCCCCCAGGCAGCGTTTCAGGGCTTGGGCAAACCCGTCCTGCATCAGCTTTCCCTCTCCTGCGTTACCTGTGGGTATTTCTCGGTGGCATTAACTCTGCTCAGCATGGCCAACACAAAAGCTGCTGTTTTCCCTGTCCCTGACTGGCTCTGGGCAATCAGATTTTGGGGCCTGCAAGGCAAAGGTGGCTTAGAGGCGCAGGAGGGTTGGGGTGCCCCGAGGGAGATGGGGTTCACCATGGGGAATCGCTACTCACGGGTATGCCAGCATGATCGGCAGAGCTGTCTCCTGGATTTTGGATGGTCTGTTGAAGCCCATCATGTAAATCCCCTGCAAGAGCTCCTTTTTCCTGTGAAAACACCAGAAAACCCCTCATTAACGGTCAGTTTGGGGAGCGCTGGTGACTCTTTGCTGGGGGGGGACACTCACAGGGGCAGCTCCTCGAAGGTTCTGATGGAGTAGAGCGGGGAGTTGGGGTCCCGCTGCAGGATCTCCACGGTGTGGCTGGACTCCACCAGGGACGTGCGGATCAGCTTGTTCAGCAGTGAGGTTTCGGCTGACACCACTGGAAAAGGCAGGAATTCCTTAAAAGGGTCAGGTAAATATCTTCATAGATTGATGAGGGGATCGAGGGCATCCCCAGTACATTTGTGGATGACACCAAGTTGGGTGGAAGAGTTGATCTGCTGAAGGATGGGAAGCTCTGCAGAGGGATCTGGACAGGC